ACAACCCCTTTTGTTGGACGACCAGCGCTCCTCTGAGTCCTCCACCCGACGATGTTTCGACATCCACCACTGCTTCATTGGGTCTCCTGCCGGCCAGTTCCGCTTCACTTCCGCTGATGCTGCACGTTTCCAAAAATTGTTCTGCCATACCTTCTCTGTGTACGGCAACGACCCACGGTTCTTCACCCACCCTTCACCGTTCACCAATGATTGTCTCAAGAACGACGATGAGCTCCTACCAGCTCTCCGTCGCGAAATTCTTCATGACCTCATCGGACTGAACCCAGACTCGAATCTCTTTCAACAAATCTACCACGATTGTCAGCCTCTCCTCTTCAGCGCCCGCCTTTCCGTCAAATCTCCCAACACTGAACTTGTGCCGCTGACCGCTGCTTCACTTGCCGCTGCTCTCAGTGATGTCTCCAATTCCTTTGATCGGCACGGCTACGCCAAATCCCCCGTCCACATTTATATCCACACTGAGCACCTCCGACGTCGATCTCCTGACCAGCCTGCCTATTTATTGAGTGATTTTTACAGCACCCAACAATTGCCTATTGTCCCTTCCAATACCCCTCTATCCGACCGAAAACTTCAATATTTCAAACCCAACCCATCCCCTTCCCTTTTGCCTGCATTTTCTCCACCCCAACCCGAACCACCCTTGGACGCTGCCGCCCTACCACCCACAGCAACTCCTCGACAATCCACCCCGCATTCCGATCCCGCTGCTCAGGCACCCTTGGTTCCATCCCCTTCCATTTTGGTTCCTCCAATTTTTTCCGGGGCAGACATTTCTCCCATTTCCAATCACGGGAGGGTTTCTCCTTCTTCCCTCTCTTCTACTTCCGACAATAATCGCCCTTGCTCTGTGGCTCCCTCGGTCAACTCCCTTGCTGATGACGACCCAGCAATTTACGCCACCAACACCCGTGCCACCCCTGCCTCCCACTCCCATTCTTCCAATTCTTCCGTGGCCACTCCAATTTCCTCTGTTCCATCATCAACGTTTGCGGATCCAGCCGATTCCCCGGTTGCACGTCCAATTTACAGCCTCTCCACTATGGCTGACAGTGATTCGTCCCATCCTGTTTCCAATCTTCCCCCTTCCTCTCCTCCGCTGGACTACTTCTCTTCGTCGGACGATTCCACCACCAATGGTCCATACGACGAATCCTACTATGACGGCGATCCTTTCTACCAGCATACTGATGATCCCTCTCCCAGCGCATCATCCCCATCTGCTTCCATTGATGATCCCTCATCCCAACGTGCTTACATCGACACTGATAATCCCTCTCACAACGTATCATCTGCTTCCATTGACACCGACGATCCCACTTCCGACGAATCATCCCAACGTGCTTACATCGACACTGATGTTCCCTCTCCCTCTGAGTCATTCCCGTCTGATTACATCGACAAATCCTACTACGACGATGCCAACGATCGATACCTTGATCCCAACACACTCCACCGTGATACTGACTTCGATTATTATTACGACAACAATGAAAATTGCTACCTCTACGACGATACCGACGACTACTTCACTGATTCGTACGGCAATTCTTATTTCTGATTCCCATGCACTCCATTCCTTTTTCCCATCACTCTTTTCGGTTCTGCTTCTCTCACTACTGGTCCTTTCTTCTTTCACGTCTTTTGATCTCCAATGCTATCCCATTCCAGATCACGGGAGGGTGTTGCGCGAAGGACAGACCAAATAGCTAGATAAGCAGCAACACTGCACTCTCACTTATCCTTTAGCATGACATTACACTGATTGATAGGTCTCTTGACATCTCAACCCTTCGAAAGATCTCTTTCTCTTCCATCAACACCGCATCTTCGAACTTGAGGTACGCTGGCGATTTGACAAGAGCGGCCGCAACTTCACACTCAAGCGCTACCGTCGTGGCTCGGGCTTCTTCTGCCCTATTGACGCCATTATCTCTATTATTATCCGCGCTATTCTACTAGGTGTTCAGCCCCATGAGCCGATTGGTGTTTTCCAAGACTCCTCCGACCCTCGCGGCTACACTTTCCTCAAGGATGATGACATCAAAAAAATCATGCGTCAAGCCTGCATCGATGCCTACCCTGATCCCAATCACTTTTACCGCAAACACATCACCGCCATTGTCACTCACTCCAACCGAGTCTTCGCCGCCCTAGTGCTTCGTGCCATGGGCCTCGACATTCCAGCGATCGCCGCTCGCCTTCGTTGGAAACCTGAGAGTGTCGATCACTATCTCCGTGAGACTGACACCATGGTGGAGGACTTCACACTAGCCGCGTTCCGCGGCGCCCTCCTCATAAACTAAAACAAAGTTCACTTTCCAGCTACTCCAATAGCTTCAAACTACTTTCACACTTGTACACCTTTGGCCCTCGCAACTCTCCACCTCTGCGATCCAATCGCACATACCATTGCGTAGCTCCTCGACGTTTCGTCACTCTCCCAGTTCTCCCTTCATACTGGTCAGCTACGATCACCTCCACGCGACTTCCCACCCGAAGCTCACTCTCGTCGTCACTTTCATTTTCCATCTGTTCCCCACTCTCACACGATGCAGTGGTCCCAGTCACATCATCAGCTCCATCGACCTGTTCCAACACCAATTCAACTTGCACCAGCATCGCCCGCATCAACCGGCACAAATCCCGTAATTCATCTTCCGATTGCGTCATAATCTGCGATTGTGATACCAACCCCACTCAAACAATTCCAGCGATCCTCCGCCAGATCGCTCAGGCTTATACGAAACACGCCGGCATATCTACCTTCTGGATATTAACGCGCGACCCTAATACGGGTTATAAGCTACGTCACTATCCACGAATGTTTTCTTTTCAGCCAACCATTCCACTCGGAATCGCCAACATCGTGCCATTTCCTGTACCGGCATCAATACATCGCCGCAATGGTCTTCACACCTCTTTTTCTCTCCAATTGAACAAGCTCTCTTCACAATGCCTACCATCGCGAGCAACCGCAGGGTCCCGATACCTTCTTCGTCGACCACGCCCACGCAGCTATATTCTCCCACATCCGCTTCGCTGGACGCCCCACTTCCATTCAGTGCGGCGCCCACAGCCACCATTCAGGGCAACACAGCAGTGTCCCACGGCTCCGCCGCTCCTTCACTGTCACTCGCCCAAACGTCCTCGCCAGACCGAATACGCACTGCACGCTCCATAATGGCGTCATCACGCTCGCGTTTGCGTTCACCATACGCCGCCTTCATTTGATCGAAAATGCGACCACCCTCCACTCGTCCAGCAGTCACATCAGCCAAGCCCTTTGTCACCACCGCCACCGCAACCTCCTGCGCTGCATCCTTCTTTCGGATCCTGATAAAGCGCTTCATGTTGGCTTCATGGTTGTGCGCGGCCATAGCCTCGCGCAGATCCTCCGCCACCATGCCCATCACGTTAGGACGGAAGGTGTCCCACGGCGTCAATGGCCCGTCCTCCACCACTCCTCGCCAAAAATTGTCGCGAGCCATCACCTGCCACACTCCGGGGGCCAACCCCGAGTCCGCAGCCTCCAAGTGGTCCGACCACATCCCTTCCGGCGTCATCATCGGCGCCCCACCACCAAACACAGCTCGCAACCGATTGGCCTCCTCCATCCCAGCCATCACCTCCGGATTCATCTCGCTCATAAACTTCGGCGTCCACACCTCAATCTCCTGTTCCGACACATCACATCCCTGCGCCGTCGCCAGGATCACAAACTTTTGCGTTCGAGCAAACACATCAGTTGCTCTCTCCTTCCCCGAGCGTCCTCGGGGCGATCCTCCTTCCCCACTTTCCGTATCCGAACCAGCCATCGTTGTACACTTCAACTCAATCTCTTGTCCACCTACATCACATTGGAAATCAATACACACAACCAGTGAGAATCACACCAGTCCAACAACAAATTCGACTCTCTACCTACTTACCTTGGCATTCACCAAATTTATGGTCTCTTATCGAGTGCCTCCTTTCGATTCCACCACTCCACAATCGTGACAGACTCCACGGTTGACCCTCTCTTTGTCAATCACTCCGACGAAAATCGATTCCCCACGATACGCCAATCACTCCCACGATTTCCTTAAATCAGCGAGCCATCCCCGCATCATTCCGGCTCCATCCACTACCGGCCCATCTCGACATTTCCTCCCCACTTTTCCTTCCTCTTCTTCTCCTATCTCTTCCGTCACCATCTCCTCTCCTCATGGCATCCTTCGCCTTCAGGGGTCGCTCCACTTGTGTGGTGCTTTGTGTGGTGGTCAGAAGAAGCTTTCAGTCCAGGTTCAGGTTTCAATCCTGACCTAGACTTCACATCTCCTTCTGGGTCATGCTCAGCTCAAGCGTTGTGAGGCTCTCCCCCAGTCCATCCGGACTGAGAGATAGCCAACAACCAACCACTTGACCATGGATGATGAGCAGCAGAAGGAGAAGGCGACCGAGGGCAATCCCGAAGGGATTGTCCGGCAGAGACTAACTCCAGTCATAGTGAAGCACCAGTAGCAGAGCAAATGAGGGTCCACAACCTTAAAGCCAGCATGACCGGCAGGTAACTGTAGGTGGTGCCTGCTCACCCAGCATTGGCATTGGATGAGCTGGCACCAACAAGATAACAAGCACCAAGTGCTTATTCTCTTGTCTTTGTACACCAACAACAGTTGATGTACAAAGCCTTCGTTTTCCTGCATCCCAACACCCGCCCACCCGGTGGTCAGAAGAAGCTTTCAGTCCAGGTTCAGGTTTCAATCCTGACCTAGACTTCACATCTCCTTCTGGGTCATGCTCAGCTCAAGCGTTGTGAGGCTTTCCCCCAGTCCATCCGGACTGAGAGATAGCCAACAACCAACCACTTGACCATGGATGATGAGCAGCAGAAGGAGAAGGCGACCGAGGGCAATCCCGAAGGGATTGGAAGAGAGAATAGAATGACCCTGGCAACAGGACCCTGAAGTTCAGAGACAAAAGTCAATGTCCTGAATGGGCTGAGCAATTTTTTTACCTGTGTCGCCCATGAGGTCCTGGCAGTCTGGCCCAGGATTTAGGTTTTCCCACAAGATTCCATAGAGACTGAAGCTGTTGCCCGAATGCAACCTGAAGCTGTGATTGAAGAATGATGGCTAGAAGCAGGAGAGCAGCCATTTGAACAATGAACGAAATGAAATCATGTTGAGTTGAATGACGAATTGAGAGACGAATGACATGCTAGAGCGATGTAGCCATACATATGATGCATACCTTCATCAAGGGTTTCAGACTCATGAAGTCTGTTTCCAAGTGCAATCTAGAGTGAGATAGATCCCCTCTAGCTTGAGGGGACCGAAAATGACCTGTGACTGCGATTGAATGACTATCCAGTTACCAGCTTACTAGAATCAGCCACACAACAACAACCAAGTAGTAACACACAACTATAGCAACAACTCTATCAACACCTCCTCCTCTGCTACTACCACTGTGGAAATTCGCTTGAATTATTCGACTGAGTCGAGTCACTCAGTCGCTACACTGTACCAGGATTACTCGGCATTTTGTCTATTTAAGGCTATTGTATCTGATTACAGAGTTGCCTAAATGTTCTATGCTCCTTTGTAAAAGTGGCTTATGTCTCACAATGTCTACGGATGTCTCACAATGTCTCACAATGTCTACCAATGTTTCACAATGTCTCACAATGTCTCACAATGTCTACTAATGTCTACCAATGTCTCACTTTGTCTACACAGTACAGTAAAACAGTACAAAAATGTCTCACTTTGTCTACCAATGTCTCACAATGTCTCATAATGTCTCACTTTGTCTACCAATGTCTACCAATGTATCACTTTGTCTACTAATGTCTCCTAATGTCGCACAATGTCTACTTTGTCTACTTTGTCTACTTATGTCTACTAACTGTGTGTAGACATTTACACTTAATCGCCAAAACACTTTCCCAAACAGACAAAATGCCGAGTAACCCAGGTACCTGGTACCGATACCGATGTACAAGTACATACGGTACTACGGATTCGAGAACAACTGTCTTGCGAGGCCCCGGAATGAGATTTGCCTTCCGTACATTTGTGAGGCCACCCGGCGCGATTCTGTAATTGGTTCCGAAATTATCCTTTTCCTTAAACGGGGAGTGTGCGTTAAGTAATTTTCTGGAGAAATCCCTTTCCAAGCTGCCGCAATCCTCTCGCAATTTTAACGCTCGGAGTCCCAGAATTTGGGAGTGGGGTCTCCCAGATTTTGGGAGTGATGACTCCCAAAATCTGGGAGACCCCACTCCCAAAATCTGGGAGACCCCACTCCCAGATTCTGGGAGTCACCCCTGCGAACTCGATAACTCGATACCTCTATGTTTACTCTATCAAGATGATGCTATCTCTTCTACAGCGGCTACTCCTCTTAACAAAGGCTACTACTCACCACCATGACTGGCTCCTCTTGCTTGGGTAGTGGCAATCGGTCGTTCCGTTCGACTTCTTCTTCTTCTTCTTCTTCTTCTTCTTCTTCTTCTTCTTCTTCTTCTTCCACAGAGCGATCGATCGGAGCGATCGATCGGAGCGACCATGACGCCTCCTCTTCCACGGAACGACGACGCACGCCTCTACTGTTAATGAAACAACAAGGGACTACTACTAGTACTACTAATGCAACAAGCGGTTCAGCAGAACCAGCATGGCAGGCAGACTCATCAACCATCAGCCGACAATTCTGGAAGACAGGATATTCAGGTAGATGCGGGAATAAAATAGAAATCTGACCCAATATTTACCACACCTACCGGTAGAGACTCCCAGAATCTGGGAGTGGGGTCTCCCAGAATCTGGGAGTGGGGTCTCCCAGATTTTGGGACTCCGAGCGTTAAAATTCCATTCCGCGGCCTCGCAAGACAGTTGTTCCCGAATCGAATCCGTAGTACATGTACATGTATGGTAGACTACTGTACTTGGAAGGTGGCAAGGTGAAACCTTGTTTGGGATACCATGTACCAGACTGGTATCAGGGCAGCTTGTTGTGGCCGGTGACAAGCTGCCAGGACGCAGTTGGCGGCATTTGATGCTCGCTTTAGTTACTTGACATGATTCAGCTGCTGGCTGCTTCTGCCTCTTTCTTCTCTCTTGCCATTGCTGCCTTGTTAGGGTACCGGTATGCGGGCTGCTTATCCACCGAGAGGATCGCAGGTTAGCCACCGTACTGCTGCCGCTGCTGTAACCACCGGCCGAAGCTAGATTTGCAAATGCACGAAGTAGAGTGGGTCTTTGCAACCTCATCAGTGGCCACGATTATGCGACAACATGGATGATCTGTGGTGATGGTAGAGCTTGTCTTCCATGCAATCGTCGAGATTAAGCCTATTTTGGGGGCCTTTTTTTAGTGAAAAGCTATCTAGCTAGAGCCGGATCATCTTGGCAGTCATCACCTTGCGATCATACATGTACATTTTGATGGAGTAGTCTAGCTAGACGAGTGCAAGATGTTGGAGTACCAGTACAGTAGATCTGTATCCGTCGACCATACCGGTAGACCACCACAACTTCTGCCGATGTGAGCAACGGAGGACAATGCCACCCGTTCGGGAGGAAGGAGACGGAGGAAAGAAGTTTTAGAGAAGTTCTCGAACACGAGAACTACACTACCTGTAAATAAATTGTCGGAGGACGGAAGAACCCGAGAGAATTGGTTCATTGGTGCTCATCAGTACAGCACACCCTCTGTCCTCTTACTCGAGTACTGGACCACTGGTCCGTCCTTCGTGCACAAGAATGTCTTTGATGCCTTTTCGCGTATAAATCTAATTGTGCCTTATAGGCATCAAAAAGTGGGATTTAGGCATTACTCTTGTCTCGACGTGCCCGGTTCACTGAGACATGATAACATGATGTCTTGGAGCAAGAAAAAGGGCCTGGCCTTTGGCAACTGATAACTAATACTCTAATACTAGCCACATGTACTAGCTAGAGCTAGCTCTCTAGTAACTAAAAGCAAAAAACAAACTTTCCACCTACACCTTCTAAAGTACGCGTACGACAATGAAAACATTTCGATAGGGACCGGTGCTTCAGAGTACTAGTACATGTAGGTAGTACAGTAGCTCGATATGGCATCCAAGGAGGGCAGAAGATTGACAGGAGCTACTAGTAGCTAAACGTGCTGCAAGTCAAGATTCTCGACCGTGTCAATGAGTTTTGGTTGGGGGCTGCTTAGCTGCTGCTTTACGCTTCACTCTTTAGGGGTTCCTGTGCTCATGTCATGGGCTGGCCAATGGACAAGGAACAAAAGGGGAGCGCGAACTGTGTGCGGAAAGTCGCCATTCGTTCAGAGCCCTTGTCGCATGAGATTTGCGGGCAGCCATCCAACGAGAAGTGCCGATGCGGTACACGTAGCTAAGCTGTGAAGAAGGAAGTTTCAAAAATAAGGCAAAAGTGGTCGTTTTATGGAAGTTGTTTATATAGCCTAGATGATACATTTGCGGGAGGCAGGGTGGTGTGGCTCACAATAGGCAAAATCGGAGCATGCTTGGACTCAAAGACGTAGGCAGGAGGGGCACAAAATCGTTGAAAAATGAAAGTTGGATAAAAGCCAGACAGAGCCAAGAAGTGGCAGGCTGCCTGGGTTTGCTTGGCTTCTCAAGCAGTCGGGGCGGTGTGAGGCTTGATGCAAACAGCGCAGTTCAAGTTGATCTCGTCCATGCATTCTCTGGGGAGCATGCTGACGAGGTCCATGTGAGTCGCGGTTGCACCGAGAGTCCTGTCCCTGTCAAGGAGTTGCAACATCATCCGGCGCACATGTGTCAAGAGCTGATCGCTCTCGGCAAAGTTCGCCAGGGTGTACTGGATCTGTGCGGCGTTGTTCATGGCCACCATGTGCAGAATGAACAAGTCGTCTCCCACGGCCGGTTGGGGCAGGCCTTCGACGGAGCTTGCCATCTCCATGCAGTTACCATAGAGGAGGCAGGCAGTGCGTAGCTTGCGACTGTCACCCGACTGCTGTCCCAACTGATGGTACGTAAGAGCCATGTTGAAGGTGAGGATTGCACAAAAGACGGCCATGTTTGTGCTAGACAACACTCCTTGAGGCAGGAACTGCTGGGGCCCCCCTGGTTGCATGTTCATCATGGCAGGGGACACCAGAAACGCATGGTTATAAATGTAAAAGTTGCCGTCGTCAAGGCCAGGCACAGGCACCACACGAAAAGCGAGAGATGCATCGGGAGATGCTTGGAATCCACCATCAGAAACAGCGCACAGGTGATCCATGGCGAGCATTGCCTCTTTGATAGCCAAGATGGAACCTTTGTCAACTTTGTAACGGGCAAGGGCAAGGATACCATGAGCGTTGAGCTCACAGATTCGCTTAAGACCGGCTGCTGGGAAGGACATGGTTGCAGTTTGTGAAAGTAAAGTAGGTTGGATTTGATGCGAGTGCAAACGCAAATGTTTTGTCTTCGAAAATTGTGTGAAAGGACCTTGCCTCCGTGTCCGAAAAGCGCCTGCAAAAAGGGTTCCCAGAAAATGTTCATAACGCCAGAACTTTTGGTGGCTTCAGGATCGGCGACAAGGTTCCACCGGGAATAACTCACCTTTGCTATTGCCTCCGTCAACGGCGTAAGAAGATTCGCCCTCCTCCCAAGGCCTCACCACCCACGCAATGAATTAGTCCTTCTACCCTCATTTTTTAAAAGATACGCTTGGGTATTGGGTACCGGTACCTCTATGACGGCGAGCCTGCCAAATGCCCATAAGAGGCTGGTGCCACTCTTGCTTGCATACATGTAGCTATACACTGTAGGGTACCGGTAGAGCTAATAAGATACTCAGCGAGTTTCTCTCCCTCTCCCACAGTTCTATAAGATACCAAGGTACATGTACCGTACGGTATGACAAAAGGACAATCTAGACCAAATTTCTTGAACATAGCTGAGAATAGCAAGTGTCCCGTCTTGCAGGTGATTGCATCGATCGTTGGTGATCATGAGCCGCCAAGCCAAGAATCTACTACTAGCTAGCTAGCTAGCTACCGGTAGCTACATGTGTGATATGCAAGTTCTGACTTGAGTTTACTATAGCTGCGGGTAAAACAAATTATTATCTTAATTAATACCAAAGCATAAACGGAGCCGATAGCGACAATGCGACACCACGTTCAATTTAGATAGGCTTTCAAGACTCAAGACACCAACAAAAGCAGCTTCTCGTAAGTACTATAGACATCGGCATTGGCGGTTGGTGTTGGGTGTTGGGTGGGAGTTGGGTGCAGGGAAATGGGGAAAAAGAGCCATGGTCCACACAACCATGACCGATGAAGGCAGCACAAGACCAAAAAAAGCCTCAATAAGCCAAATAAACCAAGAAGTTGGCCAAACCAAGACAACACATTGTAGACGACGTACGCTAGCTAGCTATAGTATCATGCAGTACACAGTACGGAACGCACGTTGCTGAGTTTCATGGAGACATCATAATTGCAGGTTTTCGTGATCAACGGTCAAACCGTGGCTTACTTTTCAGCGACCACGAGCGACCATGGCTGACCACCATTGATCACGACTGACCACGGTTGACTTTAATTGGAAAAATGTATGTGTTATTAACCTTACTAGTAATTAGCCATGATTGACCACAAGTGACCACGGCTGACCACGGTTGACCACAGCTGACCATGGCTGAGCATGGTTGACCACCTTGACCACGACCATGACCATGACATACAACAATCATGAAGCTCAAGGGCCAACACGAATGCAACTGTTACACCAGTTAGAGCCAGTAGCAACACAAGGGTACCAGTAGGAGCGTCATGTGGCACACCATTGTAAAAGCAAGCCCTCGGCGCAGTAGACAAAAATAACAACTACTAATCAATGTGACAAACAAACAAACACCATTGTTTCCCTCTGTGGTCATGTTGACCAGCTTGACCAACTATGACCTTCAATGGCAACAGATGACCATTAGACTGGCCATGAAAACAGCCATTTTCCCATCTCCCAGTAGGTGTGGAGCTCGAGGTGCGAGTACATATTATTATATGCAAATCAATGTAGGCGTGTTACCTACATGTATCTGGAGTAGTACGACGCAGATGCGCGTTCTCGAGTGTGCACAAGACCAAACACCAAACGTCCAAACAAGCAACTTCTGACATTTAAACATAAAGGTTCTGAAGAGTCTTTTTGTTTCAGACATTGTGACCTTGGCTTTGTCAACCGAATGTACTGACTGGTGGAACAATGTTAGTAATTCGCAGCTATGCTACGACCAAATTTAATTATCATATTTTCGAAAGGTGAATCGTGACATACATGTACGAACTTGTAGGTACTCGAGTACCATGGTACCTACGTACCTACTACTGGTATTGTATTGTAGCATTGTAGCTTATGCTGGGTTCTGGGAATCTGCTGCCAGAACATTTATTTCAGATCTTCTTCTACATAGAGGAGTTTATGATCAAAGGCTTTTGGGATGTCTAGGGTTCCTTGTGTCAGAATCCAGGACACCAAGGAAAGCCTCACAGCATTAAAGAATAGTAGCTATTAGTACAGCCGATTAAAACAATGACATGTTTATGAGAGCCCCTGAAACGCACGCGGTTGTATTATACGTATAACATTTTTACTATGTATTCTACAGATCATACGTATTACACATATAACATTTTTAATATGTATTAGACAAGTCATACGTACAAAAACACAGATAACACAAGTGGAACAATATTTATACGTATTACATGTATTATTGTGTTGTACGTGTTTTATGTATAATACATAGTGACGAATTTTTGCCAAGTTTTTTTGCCAGTGTTTTCCAGGTGTTTGGGAGCAGAGAGGAAGATGCACTGTTGCAGGCCTAATACCTGACAGCTTATCAAGTAAATGGACTCTTACCTATCTGAACTCTCTCATGTTGCTAGATACAATATCAATGATGAAGAATGGACTCCTCTTCCATCATTGTGAATGTAGCAACCTCACTAGCTGATGATACGCCAAAGGAATAAACATTATGGATACTCTGGGGTTCGATAATTATCGATGGAGAAATCGACGGTGTATTGGCTACTTTCGATGTATCAATCTTGTGATCCGGCGCATATAAAGAAGTTTTGATGCCATACTTTGTACTTCTTGCAAGACTGCTGATTCCGCATCAAAAACAAGGGATTTGATAAGAGGCGGAATCACATTACCATATGTTGTCCAAGGAGTCGTTTTTACAAACAAGGTCCCAAAAGGACAGCACAAAACCACCCAGACTCAGCTTCCTGTTGAGGGGGAGGGTGTCAAATGTCCATTCTCTTCAATGTTCTATATAGCCAGGAACACACCAAATCATCCAAATTCAAATCCATCATTGCACAATTGACAGAGACTGACGATGTGATTGAGTGGGAGATGATCGTGTCTTGGCTATGGAAAGAACAAGCAGCCGGGGGCTGATGCCTCAACTGTCAAAAAGAGATTTGATTGGATTCCCCAATCGAATCCTTAACATCTTTTGGTCAAATCCTTTACCGTGTTCAACTGGACACACTAGCAAGTCCCATAGCCAGCCAGTAAGGGTCCAAGTACTGTGTCCAACAGAACAACACAATATCAATCCCTATCTTAACAAGGAAAATGTCCCTATGTCTTTGGCAAAACTTACACCGTGTTTTATCTGGACACACTAGTGAGTCTGCATAGCCAGCCAGACTGGTACCCATATGTTGAAACTACTGTGTCCAGCTGAACACACAATATTAATCCCTATCCTTAACGAGGAAAGTGTCCCCTATGTGACCAAAACAGCTGCAACAAACACACACACACACACACACATACAGCGATAAAAGTGTGAAAGACCCTCAGTCCGTTGAGGGCAATTTGCCCGATATCAGACAAGAGAAGAAGCGGATTTGTATAACACAGGTAATACATATAACACAGGTAATACGTGTTATACGTATAACACAGTTAATACGTACAACACAGTTAATATGTATAACACGGGTAACACGGGTAACACATATAACACGTATATCATGCATAACACGTGTTGCGCGCTTGGGTACTTACATTGGGTTCAGTACTGGTCCCTACAGGAAGTTGTTGACGATGGTGAAAATCAAGGCCAGATCTTCCACAGGCTTCGTCAGTGAGCCTTCAGAAGTATATGAATGCAAAGAGAATGGTCCTGTGAGCTTGACAAAGCTGATAAAGAGAGTGGGGGCAGGAGAATGAAGAGGAGTTGAATGGAGAGAAATCCTTCTATCTTTCACAGAAACAGTCTTCTTGGCTTCAACAAAGCCATACCACATTGCCTACTTACCCACAATGATGGTACTATCAAATAACAACAGAAACCTCTGTATCCTTCAAAGCAACAAGAGGAGAGAGGTTTATCTCATGGTGTGTGTTGTGGAGATTGGTGGAGATTGGTGTTGAAGCCATTTTGCGAAACGAACGGTAACTCGAACGGTCACGGTGGCTGGCTGGCGACCGTGTAATACGTGTTATACGTATTATACGGGAATACGTAGAATACGCATTGTACGTATTACATGTATTACATCGCGTGCGTTTGAGGGGCTCTCGTACAATGTACGTTGTACTGCAGAGTGCAGAGTACTCTGCTTTGCGGCAGGAAACAGCTGCACATTCTGAAGGGTCTTTCGTTTCAGGTGACCTCGGTGTTTGGTGGCCTTCAATTTTTTTCAATGAGCTTCCCAATGAGCTTCCCAGCTTCCCAGCACTCTACTACTAGCTAGCTAGCAGTTGCACTCAACAGCATGAATGCCTCTACTCTCTACTCACCTCCACTTCTTCTTTCGGGGAGAGCCCAGTGGTGAAGCCATGCAGATGTCACATGCCAGATGCCAGTACCTCCAACGGTAGACGGTACCAGTAGTAACTTACAAGAGTACTACCAGAGTGGCAGGCATGCTTGTTTTGCCACTCTCTCTTCTACTCGCACTCAGAGATTAGTTTCGAATCAGCACCCAGTATGTCAGATGTCAGATACTACTCACATACTCAGAGAAGATAGCAACGGGCGGATGAAACAATAACAACTTGCTTGCCAATGAACCAAACTTCTAGTACATCTATTTAAGAACTTCGGTTATGGCAGCGATGCTGTGATGTCCTATTTGCCTCGAGCTTCTTTGTGCTATGGTGCCGGATGCTGGATACCGGACAGCCGGACAGAACGTTTTCTTTTTTCTGTAGCAATGATTGCATCGGCAGATTGGCAGCAGCATACTACAATCCAAGGCTAACGGTTCTTCCTGCGTGAAAAGGACCTGTGGTGGAGGCTGCGATTGTTTTGAAAGTACCGCTCCTGGGGCGGAAGCAAGACGATCTCTCTCGCTACTCGCTACCCAAACTCTAGCTAACTGGCTGGCCAGTTGCTGTATTAGTTGTCCCTGATATGAGAATCGAAAGTTTCCCTTGAATAGAAATGCTACGACCAGGCTACTACCGGTACCGGTAGCGGGTTGGTGTGTGAGGATTTGATTCATGTGGATGTACGCAAGACGAATGGAGCCCCGGGGGCAGTCGGTAAATGTAGGGTACCGGTACCCGTATGTTGCTGTGGCCAAGCTTCCCAGAAATGCCTGAGTTTAGCAGCTTTGCAGGTTGACTACTTTGGAGATTGATACATTGATACTCACCGTACCGGTACGGTACGACTGTACCGGTCGAGTGGTGTCAGTTCCAAAAAACGAGAGGGACTCTTCCGTTTCGCTCTGTTCAATCGTGCTGCTGAGCAATAGATTGCATTGCTCATTGCTCAGACTGTTTCAATCTCCACAATGATGAACACGACGATCAATCCTGCGCTACAATTCGTAGCAACTGAAATGGAACGCCACGCAGCAGCTGTGAATTTGAACACTGTGTTGATTATTGTTTTGGCAGTGGTGTTGATCAAAGAAATCCGCCGGGGCCAGGAGTCCATCAACCACTTCAAGGAGTCCATCAACCACTCCTTGACGTGGTTGCTTGTGACAACTCCTGAGCGTCTTGACTTTTGGCATCCCCGTCAGAAAAACACCCCTGCACCCTACGATCGACCAAAGGGACTACGAGTGAAGTTGAAGAAACATTATGGGGACGACAAATGCGCCGTTACAGGTATTCCGACGAATTCGGACACGGAGAACGTAATTCTCGCGCATGTGCTACCTAGAAACTCGCCCGATCTTGCTTACATGCATTTTGGTTTGGATCCAACGAGAGACCGCGATGGGACGCGGATGTGCATGTTATTTGCCATGCAATCGAGCACGCCTATGACCAAAAGAAAATCAGTTTTGTGCGAACTCGCAAGGAAGGCGGAACAACTTACTTCAAGATGAAGCTATGGGAAGCAAATGTGGGGGGAAAGCTTATCTACAAAGGGGCGGATGCCGACGAGACGATTGAAAAATACGCTGAAACGGAATTTGGATTTGACGATGATAAGACGCCATATACCCACATCCTGACGTATCATCACAAGGTTTGCTACTATCACGCGAAAAGCCAAGGTCGGGTGGGCGACGGAAAGCCAGACATTTTTGGCAGCCCTTTGGAAGACGATCGTATTCCCAAGGAAATTCATGTTTCACTCGATTCGTTCTCGGACGAGCAGACATCATTCAAAGCTACTCCGTCTCCACTTTGCCGGAAGAACAAACAATACGGTCTCGGGTTGTTTCCTTCAGGATCCTCGTCGACAGCGTCAATGCATTCAGAGCAAGACTGACTCGCGATACTGCAGAGACTGCGGCTTGGTGGAAAGAATTAAAATAAAAAAACAATCCACGAGTGCCAGATGAGCCACCAAATGCAGATATGTTTGTCACCCAAACACAGCATTGAAGAACTCCCTCGACGAGCACGAGTGCATATCTGTGCTTAAGAGGGCCCTCAGCTCTGAAAGATTTCAGGACAAGGCAAAGGCGGGAATAGTCGTTCCAGTGAAACATCAAGTAGCGACTTGTGAGATTATTGAAAGGTTGGTAGGAAACACCCCCCTTGCTCCAGTTTCTAATTGAGCAGCATGCAATGCCAGTGCACAGGCCAAGCCCCTATTGGACAGAACTATTTCATTTTGGTATTTAGAAATGATGGAAAGCAGGCCATTTGGCCAGTAACTGCAACTGTATTTGGTGAGGCGAAACCCAATGCATAGCCAAACTTAAACTTAGTAGCTCACAATTTTAAGCAATTCCCTCAGCGACTGCTGATGGCCAAACTGTTCCCGCAACTTGCCAAATCCACCAATACTAAGTAAACAGGAATATGGGTACTGGCAAAGGAACCACCACCAAAACATCAGGAAATAACAAGGAGGGATGAATCCAATAGTAGGAGGATCTACTCTCCGGTGTGTGTTGCCGTGTCGCTAGCCTTCATGCTACTCGTGAGGCCACCAGTGGACTCTCCGACCAGTGGACTGGTCAGTCATGGCATGATTTGCCTCACATTTTGAAGAAACTCACTTTTGCCATCATCACCTCATGCTGACAGATATACCCCCAGCAGTTTGACCAATGGAGTCAACCTGACAATACTTTGCGATAGGGAATGCATAATTTGGACGTGCCCGTCGCAGTGGTGGTAGTGGCTTGTTAATTTGGTGGCCACGGGAGCAACAAATGGCTGGCAAAGTAGGGCTGAAAATTTCTTACCATTTCCCCTTGAAAATAAAGCCTTTAGTTTGACATAAGATAATGCCTTCTACATGGCCCAAACCACTACAACCAGCACATGATGGCTGTAACAAGCAAGGATTGTAGACAACTCTAGATAGTTATCTTGGGTGTGTAGGTGCTATATTGGTTGAGTTCATCATAGTTGTCTTCCCATGGCAACAGAGATGATTTTGCGTGGGAAGTCAAGAACAAACCTGCTTTAACACGAGGCAGCTCTGCAGATTTCGAAAGTGAACCAGTCCACTGGTGGGCTGATCAGTAGCATGGGTTGATTGTTGCCTTCCTATGACTCGACCACAATCTGTTCAGGCTGCTGGTAGGGCTGGAGTTAACAGTTTATTTCCAACCGGCCGTTAAGACATCCGAATCCGCAGTCAACTATTGCAAGAAAGGTGAACAATCCAAAGCTGAATGGAATGAACATCACGATAACGGCCCCAACTTTGATCTCAATTATACTGGCTTTGAAAATGGTGGCTTTCCCGATCAACAATTATAAGGCAAGTGCACTGACCTCGATGCCATCAAGCAAGCAATCGAAGCGGGTATGACAGACCCCTGTGACCTACGCAAACATCATTCCTCCGCTTTCTCCCGCCATCGCCGCTTCGTTTCAGAGTATATAATCGACCACAAACCCAATGTAGAACAAGCCTCACACCCTTTACGAGACTGGCAACAACAACTAGTTGAATTCCTAGACGGTTCAGTAGATGATCGTAAAATTTTCTTCATAGTCAACAAAAAAGGCTATGGAGGCAAATCATGGTTCACCGAGCACTATCGCTAACTCCCACCCCCTCGATACTATAGTATGCTTACCAGGTAAAAAAGCTGACATGGTATACGCAGCTGGCGTCCATGGCTTTGATCCCCGCACTGTCATCTTAGACTGTCCTCATTCTAAACAATCCCGAAAGGTCGGAAACCATACGGAATCTGCGCTGATGTATGATTTCCTAGAAGAAACGAAGAATAGCAACATCCTCGTAACTAAATACGAATCTTACACATGGAGAAACCCTCGCCTGCGCGTTGTCGTAATGACTAACTTAGAACCTGACATGGAACTCCTCTCATCTGATCGTTACCACATCATCAAAACACCTCCTCCACCGTCCTCACCCTCGCCCTCGCCCACACTTCCCCACATGTTTATTAAAAAACCCGCCTCTGCCTCCATCACATCATCCTTTCCTAAGCCAACAACTGTAGAAGCTAGTTACCCCGCTGGATACGATAACTTCTCTGCAGAGAAAAACTCGAGTGGTATCATTTCACTGGTGCACCAGGAAAAAAGGCTCCCTCGCCTTGCATTGAAGCTTGGAGACAATAATGCAAACAAAGTAAGGAGGGTACACCCTCTCCTAACTTTCCCTTGATAATGGTCAAGACCCCCAGCACTCGCCCCACTGGCGACAACATGATGTCCTTCACACAACAGGATGTCTATGACTTGTCTCCCAAAGAAAGAAAAAACTTAGAAACTCTCCTTAAGCACGTAAATAGAAAGTACCCCGTACCGACTTAATTACCTAGTATTTCCAAATAGGTATTTACTCCGTACCGAATTAGTTACCCCGTATCCAATAAGAGATGTTTACCGCGTACCGAATTAATTACCTAGTATTTCCAAAAGGTATTTACCCCGTACCGAATTAGTTTCCCCGTATCCATTAAGAGATGTTTACCCCGTACCAAATTAATTACCTAGTATTTACGAAAGGAATTTACAACGTACAAAAATCAGCCCCCCACCCCCTCGTTGGCACGTTAGTGGCAACCAAGATAAACTACTTTTAAGTACCAAAGTTTGAACACCATCACTCAAGCATTGCCACCCTGCCACCACCTCGGTCCCCTTTTATGTAACAAATTCCCGATGTAGAAATACTCTTTGTAGGCTCTAGTAGCTACAGCAAGCGGGACCAAGGACCATCCAAATGGTATTGCTTGGATCATCAGCGAAGTGGTCACACATGGCTGGAACTACATTGGTGGCAATGAAGTTGAAGTCCACGCCGCTGTCATGCTTGATCGAGTACTTAATTGGCCCACCAATACACATAGTCCCGGCAACCTTGGCATCGGTCGGCAGCTGCTCCAAACCAATGTAGATGTGAACCACCCGGCCATTCTTCTCTCCCTTCCAGTGACCACGGGTCTCATTCTCTGCCTGGGTGATGCCACACCCGGTAGCATAAGTAGGTGGCAACTTGCGCACACTATGCGTTCCAAGGCTGCCCTTGACTCGCTTGACCAACTCGACAAACTCCGGGTCCTTCCAGGCTTTCTTTAACATGCGTTGGTACCAAGCATTGATCTGGTCTGGCTCGGTCTCAATGCTGGCTTGATCGACATCTTCATCCCGCTCCAAAGCCTCAATGGTAGCAAGAAAACCTTCTTCTTCGCTGACGGCGTAGTGTCCAAACAAAAATTTGGGATCACCATGGCCCCTCTCAAGCCGCGTTTCAATCCAAATGGCTAAGGCAAGGAGAACACAAAAGTCTGGGTCGGCGGCACCCAACATGATTTGATCCGGACAATTGCGCTCCTTTTAACGTTCTTGCTTCACGAGATCTTGGTTTGGAGAGCGAAGGATCCAAACTTGCTATGGCTGTGAAGATCGATGGTCTGCTCCATGTTTGACGAGTTATTGGTACGAGCAATCAAGTGGACCTGAGTCTTCATCATGGTCGGGACCTTGATCTTCATGTCAATGTTGGCTCCACCATCATGCTCCAGGATCCGAACGGTCTTACAGAATTCATTGAGCTTCAGATCTCACTTGGCATTGGAAGGAACGCCTTGCTTCCTGGCCTCAGCCTTCTTCACAGCACGAATGACATCATTGACTGCCCTAGAGCGGGTTGGATTGCCAGACTTGGAAGCAACATACCATGCTGAATCTCTGTCCGGATGGAAGAAACTCAATGCCTTCTTGTACTGCTCAAGAGTTGAAGGTCTTTTGTGGGTGGGACGATCATTGGGCCCAGCCAGGATTGGGTGTGCCATATGTGATGAAGTTGAGGAACTGGGAGACATCAGTGGGTGTGATGGCTAAGTACTGAACCTGGAAAATGAAATGATGCCATGGTGAGTAAAATCGAAATCGTGGAGCGGAGAAATGACAGGTTTGGTGAAGAGCGATGTACGTACCTGTGTGAAAGCCTGCTGTCCATCATAATCACAGCCGTGCTTCCATGACATGAGCCTAGCAAGGAATGGGTGGTAGCTGCCAGCGAGGGAACGATTCATCGCTATTGTCGCTAACAAAAGAGTCAGTTTCGTCAACAACAAAAGAGCGAGTAAAGTAACAAGGAAATAGCGAGATTCAACCATAGCTTACGCCTTTCCAAGTTTGCCAATCCAAATTTGTGAGAAATTTGGAGAGGAATAATCGATCAGAGGTACATCGTATTCCTTCCCAACGACCAAATTGGCCCTTACTACAGGATATGACAGTTGGATCGAGCGGATCTTGGGAGGTTTACCCTTACTTTGTGCAATGACAGAGGTTCGGAGTAGTTAAGTCTTTGAGTTTCGCGAGGGTTTGGGCGCGATTTGTATGTGACTAGGTTGTATTTGGCACTTGGTACTTAGGCAAAAAGTTGTATTTTGGGGCTGCGGATACAACGAGCAATGCGATTTACTGTAGCATTGGATACCCTCAAAGACCTGCTTTTTCCCGGCAAAATACTCTCAATGACCAATGCGTATCTCTATTCCCCGATGAGATTATGCCATAGGAGCCATAGTATGGGTGCGGCGCAGCTGTGCTGGCTCAGTCTGATGGAAAGATCGCTGCTGCATTTGTACACTCTTTCAGTACAATGAGCTGTGTCACCATCAGACAAGATAGGAACAGCTGTAGAGGATATAGAGTTCCTCTGCAAGGAAGGATGATGCAGTTCCTCAGCCATGACCTATCTAGAAAGATAGCTTAGTCTGTACCAGCCAAAAGAGATGCATGGATCTGTATCCTGCATGGCTGGATGGAGTTTGTCGCAAAATCAGAGTTTGTGTTTATGTTTATAGTTTAAAGAAG